TTTATGTCAGAAGAACGGCAGAAACTGGATCTATATATGAAAACTCTTTCAGGACAAAATTTAAAGTAAAACTAAAGATATTTGTAGTTGTATAAAAGTTGCATTTTTCATCGGTCGTAGAGCCGGAAATCCGCAATATTCATCTCAGAACAATGCTTATTTCACGCAGAATCGTTAATAAACGTAAGATTTTTATACGTCTCAAGAAAGATAGAAACAAATTTACTTTAATCTAGTTTTACATAATCTAGTTTTACTTTAAATTTTGTCCTGAAAGAGTTTTCATATATAAATCTAGTTTCTGCCGTTCTTCTGACATAAAAAGACCTTTGGTTTAATAAGTTATTAAGATGTTTTCAACAATATTACTAGGGCGTTCACAGATTCCAACATGGGCGACCCTTTTGGAAACGCAACACATGGGTTGACCCGATTGACAGACTGGTTATATTCCAACAGGGTCTGAGACAGTACACATGTCCACATCCCAATGCCCGCCCTTCCAGGACTGGGGGTGCGGGGGTGTACAATAAACTATACCCACCTCCGGCGGAAGTGTAGCCTAGACAATTTGTCATGATAATTAGTGATGGCTCTTATTTTGATTATGGGTCCGTAATCCAGTTAAGCTTTTATTCTTAATTTATATTACAATGCTGGTAAAATACACTTCTTGATGATGAGTATGGAGTACAAATGAACTCATTGTGTACCCAAGTTCAAGTATGTTTATTGAGATAAGCAATAAATAAATCTCAAAGGGATAAAGTAGATTAGGCTATTTCAACCCACCTCTAATTCAAGTCCCTCAAGGGGCGCACAAATGCTGTGAGTACAAATAGACAAATAACATTACAAGAATTGTGTACCCTATACTCACAGGATGAGTATAGGGTACACAATAAACTACCACTCACATCATGGGTATGGGTTGCACAAGAAACTATCGCGCAGAGGGGGTCCGTCTAATTACCACAAGCTACCACAAACTACACAAACTTCAGAAAGCTTCCTGGCAATACGTTAGTAATGAATAAATATGATATATTAAGTTAGGCTGACCTAACCTAACCTAACCTAACCTAACCTATCCTAACCTAACCTATCCTAACCTATCCTAACCTAACTTAACCAAACCTAACCTAACCTAACCGAAGCTTGGATCGTCGACTTGATTTGGCGTCACCAACTTTTTATTTTCGTCTAATTTCTTTATAAAAAGATACTTTTTCAGATTAAAATTATGTTTTTTCGTGTTGTACATTCAGCACCAACATTATAATGAGTAAATATATCATATTTATTCATTACTAACGTATTGCCAGAAAGCTTTCTGAAGTTTGTGTAGTTTGTGGTAGCTTGTGGTAATTGCCCGAAACGCTTTGCGTAATAGTGGCTTTAGGCATTGTATGTACTAGCTCTTATCTACAAAGCCAACAAACTTTGTAAAATCTCTTTATGTATGTTCCTTTGCCTAAATAAAAATTATTATTATAATTAAACGGACCGCACAGAGGATGAATATGGAGAGCAAAGTAAACAAAGATTCACACGATGAGAAAGGGTTGCGCAATGTCCTATGACTCACAGGATGAGTATTAGCTGCACAATAAACTACAGGTCACAGGATAAGTATGGGTTGCACAATAAATTACAGGTCACAGGATGGGTATGGGCTGCACAAACTACCGGTAACAGGATGAGTATGGGATGCACAATAAATTACGGGTCACAGGATGAGTATGGGTTGCACAAACTACTGGTAACAAGATGAGTATGGGGTGCACAATAAATTACCGCACAGAGGATGAGTATAGGGTGCACAAACTGGTTGGGTAAATAGAAATGGTTGGGTACATTTCCTTTCACCTAATGCGACTATTCATGTGTCCGGACACCGGCGATTGTGTGGTATTGGCTATTTATTTACCCATAACTTTGCATTCATTTAATAATTATATTAAGATATGTTTTCCTTGAAATGTAGTTACATTATCGTCTACATGTCTTTATTCTGACAAAGACCTATGGCATTACTTTGCATATATGCAAAGTAATTATAAAATTGATTGGCTTGTGTGGAGGCCTTCACACTCCCTGAGCGAGCCATCAAGTAACTATAAAAAGGCATATATCTTCACTTTCACTTCAGTTATATTTATGCCAAAGTATTAACATGCAGCTTATATTTATGTCTTTATGATGACATAGAAAACTTCGTTTATTACAATATCTAGATTAAATTAACATTGATCTTCGGAAGGTCATAGTTCCCATATCGGTAAGGAGAGCGTCGGCCATGAAGCCTTGTTTAAAGTATGAATATTTTTCCTCTCTAATAAGGTATAATCTCTGTGATGGATTCACAAAAACTATTTTATATCTGCCTTTCTGATAACATATACAAATATAATCTTTATTTGTGAATATTTGTTAATTAAGCAATATATCAGAGGGCGTGTAGGGTTCGGTGTTCAATGAACGAAAAGGACTGGATCACTGTGTACAGGAGGCTGTTATGGCAGCAAACACTCTCCAGGCGACCATATATCTTGGATAAGTCGCTCCACACAATTGTCGCTTGGACCGTCGACTTCCTATGGCGTCACCTCTCACATATTTACGTCTCATTTCATTATAAAATTAGATTATTTCAGAGTAAAAATAGGTTTGATCATGTTCTACGTGTAGCACCAACATTATAGTAAGTAAATATACCATATTTCTTCATTACTTACGTAATGCTAGGAAGATTTGTGTAGTTTTGGGCCGATTTGGGCTGATTTGGGAAATTCTATGGACCGTAACACTGTGTCTAAGGACAGTACGGATGTTGTACTGAGATATTATAGTGTACGTGTTCATTATACATTGGATTGGCACATAAAAACAATGAAAATGTATTTGGAAAGGTGCGCAAAAAATGAACGAAAATATATTCGCTGCAATTCGCGCGCCCCACCGCCCCCCGAGAGCTTACGGCACGGGCGCACGGGGAATGATGACGTCACGCCCCAACTTCCGGACCCCATAGCAGCCAAAGTAAGTACAATTTCGACTTTTTTTTTACATACCCATACTGAGGGAAGGGTTTTTGACACTTTAAAAAGAAAAAAGAATTTTTTCCAGAGAATTTATTTCCTGCGCACTGCGGGGGTGTCACATTTGGAGGCAACGCAGTTAAGGGGTTAATGGTCTTTGTTAGATTTCAATTAATGTTACAATAATGTATGTATAATTATATACAAAATATATTTATTATACTGTAATTGCATTTTATGTTTTCCTCATATAAAGTGATTGACACTCGGCCAAGTCAACATAGCAGTAGGGAGAACACTGTTTGATGACTTGTGCAATTATCTTTTTTTTTTTTTTTTTTGAGATATATACAAGAGTTGTTACATTCTTGTACAGCCACTAGTACGCGTAGCGTTTCGGGCAGGTCCCTGGAATACGATCCCCTGCCGCGAAGAATCGTTTTTTCACCCAAGTACACATTTTACTGTTGCGTTAAACAGAGGCTACAGTTAAGGAATTGCGCCCAGTAAATCCTCCCCGACACGTGATCCAGGGTTATTGGAACAAAGACAGCACTGTTCCAACCCCATTGTTCAGCAAATACATGTCATGATAGGTTCCTCCTTTAATATAAGACTGCCATCTGTAGCATTGTAAAGCCACAGGAAGGATATGTCTGTTTGCAACTGGTATTACAGTGGATGATTTCCAGCTCAGAAAATGCAACAAGAATTTATCTGTTGGAAGGACAGATGCAAGATGAATATGTTGACTATTCATACAGGTGCATTGGTGGACAGTTGGAAAATGAACTTTTTCAACATGGGGAAAAATCTATAAACCTAATTGTGTCAGACTACAGTATAACTACACATTTGTTAGATAAATGCGACATGATGGTTGGTGCCATCAAATATGCATAAATCTGTAAAGTGGACTAAGAAGTTGTATTTTCACCTTGTGGGCATTACAGTGTTGAACTGTTTCAACGTATATTTGGTGAAAACAAGCAAGAAACCACTAGTCCATACACTGAGTCTTGCTTTGGTGTCGCAATTGCTTGTGAAATTTGGGCTGGAAGGTAGTACTTTGACGCAAGTTTGTACACCAACAAGGCCTCGTGCAGTGCCCAATATACTGATGTGCAAAGAAAATCTTGCTGCACACAAGCTTGGTTACATGCTAAGTACAGGAACACATGATGAGGGTAAATGTGGTTGTGTTGTTTGCAAGCACATGCAATGAGAGAGTAAACGAAAAATCTATCTATGTGTTGAGTGCAAAGTTTCCTTGTGTGCCATTGACTACATCAGGGATTATCACACTCATGTAGTACTGTGTTTATAGTGATGTATATAGTCTGTGATGGTGTATAGTGTGTAAACAAGTTGTAAATGTAAATAATTGAACATGTATTATTTAAAAAATGAACAATGTTTGTGGACACATTAGTGATACATGTAACAGTTTCTTTGAACAGTATGGATGTTCTACTGTATGAACAGTGTAAACAACTTCCATATACATAGGATAAGCCAGAAAAAAACTACAAATGCATTAAAATTAGTGTGCAAAAATTAACAAATATTTGTGGCAACTCGCACTTATTGAATCTGGCGTGCGACCTCTGGGAGTCTCCTGCACCGGAGACCACCCAGCCATGGCATCACACCCCACTTTCTGGACACCACTGTGGCCAAAGCAAGTATTTATTTGCATTTTTTTTCAACAAATAACCTCCCCTGACCACATATAACAATTTAGGACAATTTAGTCCTGCACACCAGGGGCTCGCCATATTTTATTGCGGTGCAGTATAGTGGATAAGGTTGCAAATGTCTAGAAAATATTCTTGGCTTAATTGCACAGCAAGATAGTGTGTGTCATTGTAAGTATATATCAAAACAAATTCTAAATTACCAGGTCAACTTAGCCAAAGATGTAATAAATTATATTAAGGCCAAAATTAAATAACTTAACATTTCTAATACTAGCTTTATTCAAAGTAATCCTATAGCAAGGTAGAAGAAAAAAAACAAATATGTTGGTCTAATTACTACAAACACTAGCCAATTTAGCCATCATGGCTGCTAACTCTTGGCGTGCTTCCTCGACCACGACCTCGGCCAGAGACATGTCCGGCGGGAGAGTGTAGCTTTTCAATTGGTTCTCCAAGCTATTTACCTGAAAAAACAAATGATATTAATAAATATAGGGTGCAGAGAGGGAGGGTGAAGGGAAGATGGACAGAGAGAGAGAGAACTGGCAGAGGGAGGGGTAGAGGAAAGGTACAGAAGAGTGAGGGGCAGCATGAACAAGAGGAGAGACTGCCTAAAACTTTACACACAGAAATCACAATAGCGTGATTTGATCCACACAGTCCCATTTCGGTACCGGAAACAGGCAGGAAACCCTCCTGAGGGACAAGGTTATCTCGACCCCGCCCAAACGCACCCGCTCCGGGATGACCCAACAAAGCAAAGGGGAAGAAACCTGCCCCACCAGCCCCGAAGGGAAAGGAGCGGCCCAACGCCACCGCAGGCCAGAAGACAGGACCTGAAACACCCATGAATTATGTGACCAAGCCTGGGCAAACAGTGCCAGTTGAACCCCCCCAATGCCCTGTCAACGGGGCGACCCGGGAAAGGGCTGGCAACCCTTTCGAGAACCCAACCTGCATGCAGAGCGAACACCGCCTACCAGACAAAGATGGTTCTGGAACAGATGCCGGCTCAGAAACTGGCACCAAAGGCCCACCTCGACTAGCAGGTGCCAGAGCCCTGGAATGACCCTGCCGAAAAGTACGAGAATGCACACCCCAAACAGCCAGCATATCTGAAAGAGGGCGGCAACTAGCCGAAGCCGCCTGGAGAAACTGAGACACAACCAAATCTGCAAACAACAGCAGATAAAATGGAGACAAAAACCTAAGCCCGCAGGGCCAAGCAGAATCCATAGAGAGCGAGAGGAAAGCCTACAGACACACGAGGCGAGAGGCACAAAACAAGGACATTGCCTACTGGAGAATAGGCACAAACAGCTTAAGCAATGCTGCCGACGCCCTGGAGCCAGATTCATGAAGCAGTTACGCAAGCACTTACGAACCTGTACATCTTTTCTCAATCTTTGACGGCTTTATTTACAATTACAGTATTAAACAGTTAAAGAGCTCCGAAGCACCAGAAGGCTGTTTATAATAATAACAACAGTTGATTGGGAAGTTTTCATGCTTGTAAACTGTTTAATAAATGTAACCAAAGCCATCAAAGATTGAGGAAAGATGTACACGTTCGTAAGTGCTTGTGTAACTGCTTCGTGAATCTGGTCCCTGGCCGCTGAAGTCAATGCGGCAGACAACTCCTCCACATCCTCCATAAGCCAGTCTGAGGACAGCTCGAGAAGGGAAAAGAAGCGAAGGGCTGAAGCCAAATGCCCACGAGCGCGGAGATCTTCCGCAGCTAAGGCAGCCGAAAGGGAAGAGATCTGAACATGCAACTGGAGCACACCAACCTCACGAGGAAGCACAGGGGCGTACAAGCACGCATGCTGCTGCTCAAATGCGCCCCCTATATACACTTGCAACACCGTAGTGAGCTCCTGCCACTCAAGCGTGCAGGAACGACAGAACATATGCCATGCCCCCAACGAAAAGAAAGGGCAGTCTGCAGGCCAAGAAGATGCTGGCACAGCACCTCATAACTTATCCAATATGGCGAAGAAGACCTGAACTCAAGAGACCAGGTCGAGCACCAGGGCAGAAGGCGGGTCGAACAGGAGGTATGCACCTAGAGTCACCTGAACCTCTGTAGCAGAAATTTGAGAGGTCGAAAACCTCTGGAAGAATGCAGTCGCGGAACCCAAGGGAACCGGGGGGGGGGGGGGCCATATCAAATTCGTACAAGGAAGTGGGGTACGAAAACCCAGAACCTTACAACAGCAGACCCTACCCTGAAGGCACTGAAACCCAGGCAGGATCGAAAGGGGCCCAAGCACTCCAGGCCACCTCCCATCCAGCCCCAGAATCCACCAAATTAGGATCCAGGGCAGAGCTGTCCTCAAAGCCCTCCACCCTCGAAAAAAAAGGCGAAGTTCAAGGGAAAGCATCCAAGAAAGGGACCTGCTGGAAGGACCCAGGAGCTTTGGAGGGAGGAACTGGCTCGAATGACTCCGTCCCCGCCTCGAATGGGGCAACACCCGGAGTCACCTGAGCCTCATCCCCAGCTAAATCCTGCCCCAAAACCCTCAAACGTTTTGGGAGCTGGAAGCAGGGTGGGAGGAGAGAAGAACGGTGAAACACCCCAACAAAGGGCAGACAGAACCAAGGTCAAAGGGACCAACGCCCCTAAGTCCGGATCCCTATAACCACAACGGGGCAGCTCCAGGGTACTCGAGCGGGCAACCAATCCCGTGTGTTACAGCAACCTAAACCTAGCATGCAACGTGCGAGCCTCTTGACCCCTAACCTCAGTATGGGTAAATTGGAGTACGAATAGAGAACAAGTCTCAAGACTCCGGGTCGAAGGTGTCGTCAACCCAACAAGCAGCATGACGGAGGCAATACAGATGATCGTCGCCCTGAGACAGGGGCAATGAGCAACCTTCAAACTCGCACAAGGCGAGATGGGACTCAGAAACTCATCCATTGTGGTCAACAAAGTCCCGACAGGGCTTTCCAGGGCCAGCAGGGGGTTGTTTCCCTACGGAAAGGCCAGGCGCTGGACCACCAAAGCCAGTTGTATGCCCGTAATATATCTGGGAAAACTGGCCTGTGTGAAATGAGCAACCCTGGAGACCCAGAGGAGGACCGCTCTACTGTACCTAGATAGCTTCTAATAAGGACTGTGCCAGCTTTGAAAGTGAATGCCAAGAAAGCCACACAACCCACTGGACCAGAAAGAGTTACAGCTGCTGCGATTATGCAAGCAAGGCAGCCCAGCGTGCCCCAACCAGCAAACAACCACTCCCAACCCAGGGCCAAATGAAAGTACTGGGACCTAAGCTGACCCCAAGGGCGAGGTAGCAAACCAAGCAGTCACTACCCCTTACGGGAATGGGGGCCCGAAGATCCCGGAGAAGAGAATTCTGAACCCCAAGGCGTGTACTCACAGGGGACTTAGGGAAGGGAGCCCTAAGCACATGCAGCCTTTGTACAAAACTCCTGGCCATGGCAAACATGCAGAAGGAACACCAGTAGGATAAATCCAATCAAGTAAATGAGGCCAGAGCAGGTGTCCATCCCGTATAGCTTCAGTCAACAAAATGATGGTCCAGGTGCTGGCTCGGTGGGTTGAGACCCCCCCCCCTCTTCACCTCCCCAAGGGTGGGGGGGGGGGCAGTGCGAACAAGTGGGGTGCAGTGTGATGACGTGTTGTTTGTTTGCTTGTTTTTCTTTGGAGGAGTTTCTAGCCTTTGTTCGGTCTCAGGTTGCAATATTTCTACCAGGAGGGTTCTGTTTTGAAGATGAAATTTAGATGAAATTAGATGAAATTTCCTTCTCTAAACATTCAAAAATTATTATGGACTTACTTCTATCTGCAGTGTTTTGTACTAGTTTACTGTTGGTAACCAGTTCTTTCCTAATTGCTTGCCTAGTTTCTGCTTCTTGTTGGTCATTTCTGGTTTTGACTTCCGAACACACTTCTTTGATAGTCTCTTTCTCTTTTACAACTTGAGCATATGTCGCTTTTATTTCTTCTTTATACTTTTCTAGTTCTTTATTCACCTCCTCTATGTGAGTTGTCAGTGAAGTTTCCAGTTGGAGATCCTTACCTAACTCTATATTAGCTCTCTGGCTCCCATGGAGTTGTTCACCTTATGAGTCTATTTTCTTGTTTATTTCTTCAAAGTCACCACACCTCATTTTCTTTCACTAGTTCCTTGATTTGCTCCTCCTAATTTGTTACCTTGTCTGTTAATGCAGTAATAATCTTACCTTGCTGAAGCATACTCTAAGAGCTCCATTGTCCTCATCCAATTTAAGCACTTTTTCTTCATACTTCTTTTGCATATTCTCAATTATCTCTAACCTGCCAAGAACACCTCCTTTCCTTATATCTTGTGGTGAGAATCCTTTGAAACCATCACCTGTTGGTGTGTTTACATTCTCAGTGGGGGTGGTGGCGGCGGCCATCTTTGTTTTTGTTCTAGAACCGGAACAAACTTTTCCACTCAGCTATTTTCACTCACTTTTACTTGTTTATTGTATTTTATTTGCTTTTACACTTCCCTGAACCTTTATGTAACCTGGGACACCACTGTAGCCCTCAACCTGTTCCCAATACTTAGGTAATTCGATATTTCCAGGAGCTTGCTGCAGTGTGACTCCTGACTCCTCCAGCTCACAGTACTCACTCCCTCCACGTACGTACGTGTGCGTGCGTGTGTGCGTGTGTGTGGGGGGGGGGGGAGAAAAAAAATAAAAAATAGTAGTAAACAGTTGATTGACAGTTGAGAGGCGGGCCGAAAGAGCAAAGCTCAACCCCAGCAAACACAACTAGGTGAACACATACATACATACATAAAATGTAATGAACAGGGGTGAGAATAGCATGAGCTACCTTATTCCTTTGTGTGTGGTTATACCTCAAAAAACTTATTTCAATTTCAAAGTAGGATAACTTCATCATTCAAGATATATAATATGCAGCATTTCTTATATTATGTCCCAAAAATATTGGTTTTGTGATGATTTTTGGTGGTTCGAGAATGATGCCCCGTTTATAGTATTGCGCCAATGAGAAATCTGGGGTCACATATTCTCAGCAACTGACTTACTAACACCTTTTCAGAACTGGAGACTAACTAACCTTCTTCTCCAGATCTTGAAGTTCTGTCCACTGCTTCACAAGAGATCCATGCATGATGTTCTTTGATATTGGAATTTTGCTCAGCTTTGCCTGAAGATAAATGGGAACTGCTATAATACTTTAACTTAAAATAGCTACAAAATTATAAAATGCATTACCAACAATCCTATTCAATTATGTCCTATATATGAAGAGTCAAACTTACCCACACCTAAGCTAGGTAAGGCAAATTTAACAGACACTCATAAGTTAGTATAGGTGTGATTAGATTAGACTTTGAAGATAGTATTATTGTAATTTAGTAAATGGATAATGCATATCATATAACTTCAAATATCAAAAAGTGAAAGGAAAGATCAGATAAATGGAGGAGGAGGAGGAGGAGGTTACTTATAGTATCTGCCATCACCCATCCATTTTGCTTGTCTAGGTCATGCCGTCTGCATATTCTCAGAGCTGTATTATGCACATGTACATATAGCTTTGGTATGCAGTCACCGAGTTGAGCATCTCTCGAGTGATGCTCAGGATCTCTCACTGACAAATTTACCAGTCTCTGTCACAGATTATATTGATGCTTCACTCACAGTCAGCATCACCTAGATGCCAACATGAGAATGTGGTAGTTGTAACTCCTGCAACACAGTGCTCTATGTTGTTGGCTAAAATCGAGGAACTTAGTTTCAATCCCTAAGGCAGAAGAGAAATGGTTGCGCATGTTTCCTTACACACGACAAAGAGTGTAAGTTTAAGTTTCCTTACTTATGACAAAGAGTGCTGGGAAGACGGGACACCACGAGCGTAGCTCTCATTCTGTAACTACACTTAGGTAATTACACGTGCCCCTCTCCACCTAGCAGTAATGGACCTACCGGAATTAAGCAATTGTTGAGGAATGCGTTCTAGGAAAGTTCAGTAGCTGATGTCAGAGAATAATTGATAAGCCTATGAACAGGCTTCCTGTCCCTGACACCTAGAAACTAGTATAAGAGCTCAGTAATCTGAATTCCAGTAATCCAAATCTTTGGGAAATCCAAATGTGAAGGGTAAATGGGAGGAGTAATTGGGTAAACATTGGGAGTAAGGAGGTAAATAATGAAAATGTGAGGGGTAAACAGCAGGAGTAACCCAGATAGTGGGGTGTAAAAAAAAAAAAAAAAAATTTTTGGTATGCAACAATAAGTAAGGTGAGAGCCATTGAACATTCAGTTCAAAGGTAATGGACATGGGATCACCAAGATAGGTGGTCATCAACTATCAACCTTAAGAGTTTGCACGATCCTTATATGCAGGTTGACTGTCACAGGGGCAAGGGCAGACAGTGGACAAAAAATTGCTTAGCAAGTCTCATAGCACAAATTTTAGTATAAGAGATCTCAAACTTGTGCTTGGTAGCCCAAGATGATGCACTACCATATGTAGGCTGGAGCTATTGCTGTCATTCACATAAAAAGCAGAATCAGCCCCAGTCAAGAGAGACAGATCATTAACTCCTCTCCACTACACATACCATACACATATAATTTTGGCCTAACTGATTGCACTGCACATATCATGTACAGTATATGTTTTAGAGTACTGAATCAGATGCAAAAGTCCCGTGGCTACACGAGGTTCACATCAGCTTTTTCAGGGCTCTAGTAAACAAAAGCCATTTTTTTTTAAATCATGGGCACCGTTCCCGAGTGTGAAGGCCTCAGTATTGAGTGAGCAACCAAGGGTGGTGCATGAAGCACGAGCTAACATCACTGCTGTTCAGCTTGTGACTATTATCAAGTCGAGACCCTTCCAAATTGGTGATAAGAGGCAGATAAACAGTCGAACTTTTGAAGTTTTTTTTTGTCTTTTTATCATTATTATTATTTTCTACCACAGATGTGGCCACACATTTACAATGCTAACCAGTATATACTGTATACATTTTCTTCTGTCCTCCATCGCCAGGGTTAGAGATCTGTTAAATATATAGTTAGTGATTCATTGAACAGTCAATGACAAGGTGATTGTAGTGCTTGAAGTTTTATCAGGACAGGAAGCTTTGAAGAAAGAGTGGCAAATATATCATATTTCCAGAGAATCATACACATTATCTAGGTTGAAAGCAGCACTCACTAATGACGACCCCTCAGAAAAAGCATTATGAATATAGACCTCAAAATCTTCCATGATGTTGGTCATGCTGCAACACATACAAAAGTCAAATTGAGAAGGGGAGAGACAAGGATTATGTTCTAAAAACCATACAAGATCCACATACATCAAATCATCATAGATCAGTCATACATCAAAAAACTCTTGTCATAAATGGTCAGGGCAATGGGACAAAAATACCCAGACAAAGTATACTTTATATCAGTTTTCTTAATGGGGGAGAGCATCCACATCAAGCCAGGCTCTGGGAAGAGACCCAATGTGCGAGATCAGGAAATAAATACATAATCTAAAGTTTAATTATGTATCAATTGTTGGCAGAAGACAACAGAACATTATATGGTGAATACCATTGAAGCATATTGCCATGGAGTGGCAAAGTGACTAAAGTTAAAAAAAAAAAAAAAAACAGCATTGAATGTAATGAAATGCCATTGTCTGGCTGAGACCTGGAGGCTTCCCAGAGCTATCCAGGCTGATATGCAATATATTAGACTTTGGCATCAGTGTGCATGGAGTTCACAGGCCTACTGGGGACTACGAGCTAAAACCTGGCCCCCTCAGAGAGGCACGAGGATCAATGGCCTGTAAAATAGCACATGTGATTTGGAGCATTCTATGTCTACCATAGACCGGGTCAGGCACCCAGAAAGGTAAGCATCCCAAAACAAACCCCCTGTTCTGGTTGAAACTACTACTAAAAGTCAAACGAGTGGACAGAACTCCCCCAAAGAAAAACAAGCATGACGTCACCACTTGCCGCGCCACCGTCTGCGCAGCTCCCCCCATCCCTGGGAGGGGGAAGGGGGAACCCCAGACCCCTCATACCAGCAACCCACACCTTCAGTTCTGAGGCTGGATGTCAAAACACACGAAAAAGCCGCCGACCGGAGAGAGGGAGGGATGCCAGGGAGCCTCCGGGTTTCACCTAGAAAATGGCGCTTCATTACATTTAACGCTGGTTTTCTGGGGGAAGACCCTTCGGCTCCCTGAAGCTATCTACCCAAAGACAGACAAGAAAGGGACAAACCCAGGAGGCAGAAAAGTACTAGGAATTTTCCCTATATATATATGTTCCAGAACTCCCCCAGTATCTAGAGAGCTATGACAGGTGATATAAGATTAGTTAATGCAATGTATTTCCCGTGATATAGGTCTCGTAACAGCAACATGTGTTGACACTGTTTATAAACAAAACGATATCCCTCGGGCCATGCTCAGGACGCTTGAAGTCCGAACTGGCTCCTACCTTCTTGTGGGAAGGGTAGCCCACAATGTTTATTTATTGACTATATTTATTGTTTAGACAGATTATTGAAATAAGATGTGATTATGATATAATTAGATATAATATTTAAAGATAAGTAGCTAAAAGTACCATTGATTCCTATAAAGAACTGAAGTTAATCCACACTGGAAATTGACTGATGTTATCATAGTAATTAAATTAAATAAGTTTTTCTCAAACCTTTTGAAATCCTTGAGAAATCATGGACAAAATCACGTATGCTCATATGGGCCCATTGGCATACGTGACCAATGGTCATGTATGATCTAGTTGACGTAGGATATAAGGAATCTGAAGTGATTTTGATATGATTTAAAAATAAGACATTTTGTAGATAATAATTTTGAGAAAGTGGGTAAAATGTCCCACAGGAAGGATGGAACTGACGGACCCGAAGGGACACTGTACCAAACCCGGGAAGTGGCCGACACCAAATCCCACTCATACGCAGAAGGGGATAAGAAAACGCATTCCATGTAACAGTAAGCCCTGCGTGGAGGGTAAGAAAACCCAGGTAGGGTCCAACGAGCCCAAAGCCTCCAAATCAGCCCCTCCCCAGCCCCGGAAACCACCACATAAGGACCCGGGGCTGAGTCGTCCCCCAAAGCCCTGGCCTCAAAAGAAAAGGCCGGCGCAGCCATGGAAGCTGGAAGGAAGGGGACCCACGGGTTAGACCCAAAAGCTTTGGCAGGGAGAACCAACTCGAATGACATCGTCGCTACCCCGGAAGGGGCTTCCCCCAAGACCGCCCAAGTCTCAAGACCATCTAAACCCTGCCCCGACCCCGAAATCCTCAGACAATTCGGAGCTGAAGGCAGGGGAAGTGGAAGAACCAGACCAAACCGCAGAAGGACGAGGGGGAACGGACGAAACCAAGGCCGAAGCAACCGACACCCCTAAGTCCGGGTCCCCTAGAACCAAAACGGGGCAGCCTCGAGGCTTCCAGGGAAGCAAGCAAGCAACCTAGTGCATTACAACAACCTAAGCGTAACGTGCAATGCCTGCGCCACCTGTACCCGAATAGAGTTGCCAGTGGACTGGGTAAACTGAGTCACAAACAAGCAACAAAACTCACAGGACTCTGGGTCGAAGGTGTCACCGACCCAGCAGGCAGTGCGATGGAGGCAAAAACAAAGAGAGTCACCCTGATACAAAGGGACATAGCAACCCTCAAACTCGCACACAGCAAGGGGGGGATTCAGGGATTCACATCTATTGGACCCACGCACCTTCGTGGGGATTCCCAGCATACTGAGACGGAATTCACGTTCAGGGAAGACCAGGCAGGGTACTGCTAACCGGCACCCAAGTCTACCAACAACTTTCTAGAAGCTGAACCCCCGGAACGTGTCCACTCACGGGGGGCCTAGCAGGGGGCACCACCAAGAACACAGATAGAAACCTAAGGTATAGATAGGGGGCAATGAACCAAAGGCAGACCCTTCCCCAACATGCAGGAAAACAAAAACAAAAGAAAACCCCACAAGAGGACAACATACCCAGGCAGAACAGAGCCGGCCACCATTATAGGTGATAACTAGCTGTGCAGTACCCTGCGCCCCTACAAGTGCAAATTACCACATACCCTAAGGTAAATAAGGGAGGAGGAAAACCCCCAGGACACTCAGGGCAGTCAATTACCAAGCAGCAAAAGGCCAACAGAGGTAGACCCCAAGGTGACTTGTGGAAGTTGGCCCCAAGCCCCAAGGGCAGTACTTACAGGGAACCAAGGGAAGGTGACCTTAGGTGCATGCAGCCCAAGTAATTGGGAAATTACTCCTGGCTCGCGCACCACCAGAGAAAACTCGCCCCACACCACAATGCACAGAGCAGAGGACAGAATCAGGAGCCAGAGCCACAGCAACCAATGCCAATCACATCAGCCGAAGAACTGAAGGTATGGGTGGCCGGCGCAAGGGGTCTGGGGCTTCCCCTTCCTCCTCCCAGGGAGGGGGGGGGGGAGCTGTGCAAACGACAGCACGGCAAGCGGTGACATCATACTCATTTGCTCGTTTTTCTTTGGGGAGTTCTGTCCACTCGTTTGACTTTCAGTAGTAGTTTCAACCAGAATAGGGGTTTGGTTTGTGATGCTTACCTTTCTGGGTGCTTGACCCGGTCGATGGCATACATAGAATGTTCCAAATCACATGTGCTATTCTATAGGCCATTGCTCCTCGTGCCTCTCTGAGGGGAGGCCAGGTTCTAGCTCGTGGTCCCCAGTAGGCCTTTGAACTTCATTCACACTGACTGATGCCGAAGTCTAATATATTACATATCAGCCTGGATAGCTCCAGGGAGCCGAAGGGGCTCCTCCTAGAAAGAGTAAGAAATCAACGTAATATTACTGAAACTGTCAGCTTAAGTGCAAAGGATGTTATTCAGCAAGTAAGACAAGAGGGAGGTGAGAATTGGTGCTAATGGCCAAGAAGTGTCACCCAAGCTTATGCTTGACTGATACAGACTCAGCCATAATGGCACCACAAAGATAAGTTTGGGCACCAAGACAGAAATTAATTTAATCGCAATCTTGTAAATCTTCTTCTACATAAGTACACTATGGGGAAGTGTGTTAACTGCGATAGTGGAGACAAGATTCCCAACTCTCCTGCTTAGTGTAACTCCTACTTAGTGTAACTCCTACTTAGTGTAATCGGCACCCAAGTCTACCAACAACTTTCTAGAAGCTGAACCCCCGGAACGTGTCCACTCACGGGGGGCCTAGCAGGGGGCACCACCAAGAACACAGATAGAAACCTAAGGTATAGATAGGGGGCAATGAACCAAAGGCAGACCCTTCCCCAACATGCAGGAAAACAAAAACAAAAGAAAACCCCACAAGAGGACAACATACCCAGGCAGCATGCACAGTACTTGCTGATTGCACTTGTAGGGGAGCCCGTCGGCCGAGCGGACAGCACGCGGGACTTGTGGTCCTGGGTTCGATCCCAGGCGCCGGCGAGAAACAATGGGCAGAGTTTCTTTCACCCTATGCCCCTGTTACCTAGCAGTAAAATAGGTACCTGGGTGTTAGTCAGCTGTCACGGACTGCTTCCTGGGGGTGGAGGCCTGATCGAGGACCGGGCCGCGGGGACACTAAAAAGCCCCGAAATCATCTCAAGATCACCTCAAGATGTAATGAATGAGTCATGAGGTTTTCTTTAACAAAATGAGAAGTTCTGCTCTTTGTGGGCTTACAGGAAACAGCCCACACACAGTCAAAATTTCACCCATAAATGCACTATCGTGTGGATAAGCTGCTGAAATGTGGTGGTGATTTTTTTGTTTCTCCATGATGCTATATAGTGGGGATGATATGGTGAACTGATCAGTGTGTGATTGTAAGCACATTTATAACCTTTCCATATGTTGCATCCCTTTCTTTTCCTGGGATAATGCCACCAATCCTGTGAGTGGTACTGATGATGATGATGATGATGATGATTCGAGTGCCTGCAAACTGTAAAAAGCTTTTATCATATTATGAGTCCACTAAATATTACAAAATATTCTAGTGCTTTCTCAAATTGGTCTACAAGCCTACATTGACTGTTAGTTCAACAGCATTCTTAGTTTGAATTATGCAACTCTTATCGGTAAATGCAGCATACAGTAGCCTACCTCATACTGACTAATGTCAAAAATGTAATTTTTGTTTTTCTCTTCCAGGAATTTCTGTTGGCGCATATTTTTCTTTTGTTCCTTCTCTTCTTGTGCTGATGTTTTCTCTGCTTGCTGAAATATCCTGCAATGGCAAATTGTATTAAAATAAACACAAGCTACCTTAACCATATGCAGCAATATGGCATTAAAAATATGCGCCTGCAGCTGATAATCCTAAATCACATCAATTATCATTTAAGACTATGGCATGATTATTGTGGTCAAACAAACTTCAGTGAAGAGACGACAGAAACAAACTTAAAGTTTCCTCATCGAACAAAAACCCGACATTTAGTTGTGTGAAAATGCCACTTGCCTAACAATGACGAGCCTTCAAAGCTCCTATATCCTATTATACCATTGTTTACCATACTCCATTTTCCGTACCAAAATAATTGTTGTTTTATCCTGCTCTACATCTCCTACTGAAGATGACGGTCATGTTTCCCATCTCTCTAGTTCCTTCAACCCCACTCTTATATCCACACTCTCATGCTAGTGTCAATGGTGCAGTCAGTACATGCACTTCACAACCAAGGGGGCCTGACCTGGGAGTTAGGCCTGGCTTCAATTCCCACACAAAATGAGACGTTTGGTCATGTTGTCTTACACCTGTTCACCTAGCAGTCAATAAGTAGCCAGGAGTTAGGCAACTATCGTGGGTTGCACAGGGGAACCTTAATAAGTCTAACAGGCTTCTGGAAGCAATATTTATAACAATAACAATTACAATAATAATCATAATAATAATAATTACCATAATAGTAATAATATAATTTATTATAATAAATAATTTAATAATTCCATTACAAATAACTAATTATAATTAGTAATTAAATGTTGCTTTATTTAAATTTCCGCTAATGCATTTACCAACGGTAATTACAATTGTATAAAGGTAAACTTTAGTCATAGTATTAAATAGCATATGACTTTGGGGTTCCAGCGGAGCACCCACCAATTGGGTGTTATTTCTCTTAACCCACTCACAGTATCAACATCACGTCTATGCCTTCTTCTGTTAGTCACACATCTATATATTTCCTGCAGCTTCACAACTGGTGATCCCACAAGCATTCCTTAATTTTACAGTTCTTTTCAACAGTTTCAATTTGTATGACTACAATTTCTCTACCTTTCTTTTCTTGCTACTTTTGACATACCATTTTGTCAATATAAAATTCAAAAGTACTTATGTTAGTGCTAGGTGAACAGATGCATCAGGTGAAAGGAAACATACCCCAACTGATTCTGTTCAAACCAGGCACTGAACCCAGGTCCTTCGGTTGTAAGGAAAGATATACTCAGCGGAGGGCCTTACGGCTGAGTTGACAGCGCTCGGGATTCATAGTCCTAAGGTTCTGGGTTCGATCCCCGGCGGAACAATTGGGCAGTTTCTTTCACCCTGATGCTCCTGTTCACCTAGCAATAAATAGGTACCTGGGAGTTAGACAGCTGTTACAGGCTGCTTCCTGGGGATATGTAACAAAATGGAGGCCTGGTCGAGGACCAGACCACGGAAACGCTAAGCCCAAAATCATCTCAAGATAACCAAGAACACAGACCACTGTGCTACATACATATTAACTAATACTTAAGTCCCACACTAAGTCATTGAAAGATTGGGATGATTGGATGCCAAGGGTGTTTGTCTGCAGCTACTGACACCTATAACATCTACTCAACCTACCCTTCTGCTACGGGCTTCTGCTACCTAGAGGTGTAACGAAAAGGAGGCCTGGTCGAGGACCGGGCCGCAGGGACGCTAAGCCCCGAAATCATCTCAAGATAACCTCAAGAAGATATACCGACTGTAATCTAACTTAACCCCACCCATCTTCCCACTTCTTTACACTTCCTAAGTAATCATCCTAACCATCTCATGTTTTCAAGCTTCATTTAAGCAAGACCCTCTTATGTAGGCTACTGACCTCATTCATGTAGGGTAAGGCTGTCAAAGCTACTTCCAACTACAATTTCAAGAACAGATATACAACTTAGTCCTTGAATGTCAATAAATAAAAACAAAAGGGGATTAGAGGCAGGGCATAAAGAGGCTAGATCTCACTTCTGTGTAGTCACTGATATTTAACTACCTTACTACACCTTTAACAGCCAAGCATCATATTTGAAAGAAAAATATTACTTGTTTGTTTATTACTACACTAAAACATTACCTATTTGAATAAAAATAATATGGAACTATGTGACTGGAATCCTACAGCAACGCATAGAAACTCATTCAAAGGTGTATCAACTGACCTTGTTGTCGATTTTTTAGATTCAGCTACTCGGAGCACGAAGTTACAAGTAGCACGGGCTATGGTGATCCCGTAGTGGACTTACCTAGCACAGGTATGGGGCTGTAACTCTGTCATCAACTGACATATTAGCACACACTTAATCATTTGTGACATTTGCAATTTTAAGAATTGACATGGCTGAAACAACATACCCTTTAATTTCCTTAAGTTTGTGAGAGAGCTCCTGGCTCATCACTAAGAACCGAGAAAATCTCTCTCTCTCTTGTTCCCGCTCATTCGTCACCTGGAACCAATAAGCAGTATTCTATTATCAACTTTCCTACACTGAAAGCCATGTATCTGCCCATACAATCAGGGGCATCGTGCAGCTAAATCTAAAAATTATTGTGGTAGGGGAATGGGGGAAGGATGTGGTGGGACTCATATTATGAAATATGTGGTTCATAGAAAAATTAGACATGGATATGAGAAGTACCAAGCTGAGACATCTTCCCATGACAAGATGGCCTCTTGTCTTGGGAACTGGTTTGTGTAATAGGTTGCATATTTAGTGTGTGGGTTCACTAGATTTCAGGGTGTCTTGCTTGTTGTCCCAGTATGCCTTTAGATGTTCAAGCTTAGCATCAGCACCCAGCAGTTTTTACTTAACACATCAGGGGGCCAAGATTCAACAGGCATACATGCAACCACTTACAAACTTGTACATCTTTCAAAAATCATGGCAGCTTTGTTTACATGAAAGTTTACAATGAGTTCACAACCTTCGAAACTTCATAATCATTACAGTATTGTTATAAACAACCGTGCAATGCTTCCGAGTTCCTATATTTTTAATAACTGTAAAGAGAGCTGTCGTAGTTAAGGAACGGTGTACAGGTTTCATATGTGGTTGTGTAAATGCCTGATGAACCCTGGTCCTGATATATATAACATGCTTAAAGTAATGTGTATCCCCCTTGGAGCCTACTGTCAGTTTGCTGACAGATCAAACAACTAGAAAAATCCAACATCAAGATGTTTCTGTTCTTTCATAAGGATATTTTGTAAAGGCCAGCTGCTAGCTCATCAATTCTTAAAACATATTATGAAAGAAGAGAAGTGTTTCATCTTTATAAAGTATTAATCTTTGAGATAAATAATTATTAGTAGAAGGCACCAAACCTGGAAGACTAATTTAACACCATCTATGGAGCAACCTTTGAGAAAGTCTCTAACCATTAAGAAGTTGCAACCTATTAGACATGAGCTGCTCTTTCAGATTCTGGTAAGCTCTAGATCAGCTGAGAAGCTTCTGCTTGATTCAAGCATCACTGTAGTTGATAAACCAAAATTAGTTCCAGGCATGGAGTGTGCTGCTGCTGCACATCCTAGGAGACCATCTAGAAATTATATTGGTGATGTTTCCATGGGGTTGGTGTGCAGTTTGTGTAGACTACAACCCTTGCTAACCCATGATTCTTGCATAGCTGTCACATTATCTCCTGTAACTTCCCCCCCTAAAGCCTAATCATGGGGAACTTGAATATGAAACATGTATAATTACAACCGTCTCTTTCGTGGCATTGGCAGAATTCTCCGAGTCACACTCCCAACCCACTGGCCAAAGTTTCCTATCTGTCTCCCTCTTAATGCCCCTAGACTGGAAACTTGGGAAGATCCCTATATTAGTTACTCCTCCTTGATTAATGTGGCTTGGTAATGGCTGCTTTAATATGCATCCAGTCTCCACCTGCCATTATGGTCAATAAACAGCATACTCCTTCTCCCTTGGGGACATGAAAATATGAGAGGTCTCCCATTTCAGACCATGCATATGAGACCCAAGGCTCTGTTGTAGATTTAGGAATGAAGGGAGGCAGTTAGATTAAGGAACACTTGATGACACCAGAACAATCTATTTGGGCCTCCAAGCACCTTCCTCCATTTTTAGGTGCATAGCAAGCTGATGGGGAATTTGCTCAGGGTCCTCTAACCAACACGCCATTATCAGCCATGATTCCAAAAGACTCTTAGGAGGAGAATCTTTGGTGAATTGCCACAACATTGCCTAAGTTCCAGTGAAGGAAAATGTACATGGGAATGTGGTAGGCTTGGAATCTTGCATGTTCTAACATATTCAATACACAAAAATACAGTACCTTGATTACTTCACTGTCTTTATTGGTGGGTCTTGCATAACATGAGCTCTGTCAACCATAACCACAGTCTAAGTCTCTCTCCTTTTACTAGAAGTGGAAACTCTCCTCAGCTCACACCAATCTGGCTGACAAGTTATTTGCCATCCTGAAGGCATTCCACTTTCTCAGGGCTGTCAATAGCCATTATTGGGCATTCATATTTCAAACAAAATCCTGCTCCAGTACATCTGTAACCTTCACCTTCACCTCCAATGAATCTTGTCTCATTTGGGTATCCAGCAAAATATCACTGATGTGACCACAACTTTGACTCAAGTTCAAGAATCAATTGAACTCCTGCTGGAAGTTAAGGATGCCTTCCCAGGCCTTACAAATTTCTGCTTAAACAGATGTCATGAAGAGTTGAAATTGAAGCTTCTGACTAGGAAGGTGGCATTATTCTTTACAGAGTCCTCTCCCAGCCCATGTGATTAAGATGCAAGACAGGATGCTGGTTATCATAATCATGACAATACACATCTTCTTGAGGTTATCTTGAGATGATTATGGGGCTATTTAGTGTCCCCACGGCCCGGTCCTCGACCAGGCCTCCACCCCCAGGAAGCAGCCCGTGACAGCTAACACTCAGGTACCTATTTTACTGCTAGGTAACAGGGGCATAGGGTGAAAGAAACTCTGCCCATTGTTTCTCGCCGGTGCCTCGGATTGACCCCAGGACCACAGGATCACAAGTCCAGCGTGCTGTCCTCTCGGCCGACCGGCTCTCTCCATCAGCCACACAAAATTTACAGCCCACAAGAAGAGACCAAAACCATTTTGTGCCATTGTGCCCATGCCTCAACTTCACTTGGAGAAAACTCAGGTGTGACCTGAAATGATTACATGCTTCGTGCCTCACATTTCCTGTTGTAGATGGCCCTAATTATGACTAGGAGACAACACACGATTCTGTTGCACACATTTCACTGCCTTCATGAGATGCAGCAAGTGAATACATTGTTGAATGACTGCTTCCAAGTGAAAGTAACTGGTAATCTTCCTGTAGCTTGAAATGATTCCATACCAGGTATTAAAGAGAAAGGCTCATTCAATCCCTAGATTTACAAAGCCCCTAAAATCCAATAACATCCTTCCCCATTATATGGTCTTGTTATGAAAAAATATATGGAAGGATGAGAGAGAATTACAACATGTAAAAGTAATTACAGTATACTATAAACTGAAAATGCCCCCCCAAAAAAATAATTTACTGTAAATGTATTGAAGTACCCCTTTCTGAGTGGTGACAGCCAGAGTCCACCCATGACACTGCTCACTCACTCCAAGAACATTTTTACCTTGAGCAGCAAGACCACTGGAAAAGTTGTTTATTACAGTGGATCTCAAAGTGGATGAGAATCTAGTATGAGTGAGCAGTGTCCACCCAGAAGACTTCAGTCAGTCACAGCCCCGTTCCTGTGCCAGGTAAGTCCACTACGGGATCACCATAGCCCGTGCTACTTGGAACTTTTGTTCCGATTAGCTGAATCTAAAGCAACAACAACAAGACTGTCGAGTGTTCTGGGTGGACACTACCACCGGCTCGGGAAACGAGCAAGGAAGCCCGGCTGGGTACCTAAGAGTACAAGCATCCTCACCTGCATGTACTCCATCTCCAGCTGATTCATGGCTAGAATAATGTTGGTACTTGTCGTGGTCTGGATATCAAGAATCTGGAAATTAAGTCATTTTTTAAATACATCATTTGAAATTATTGATAAATTAGATGACAAAACATTAACAAAGTTACATAAATTAGTTTTAATTTTCCCTAAATTCATATTTTGTCTCCCCCTTTCATTATATTATTTTATTTGTACTTGTAACTGAACAAAAGCAACACCTTTACACAACAAAATTACAATAGCATGATGTATCTGAGAAAATAGTGAGGTCATACAATGGGACACAACCTGCATCCCTAAGACTCCCAAAGAGCACTACCGACCGAACCATGATGAGCTCTCAAGTATCTGGACCAGAAGTATTACATGTATTACTTGTAGTTCTCATAGCTAAATCACCTTGTGATATCATTGTGTAATGATAGTGGTAAGAAATGGGGGGGAACATCACTATCAACACCCGAGTGTGGGCAGGTATCATTGACGGGGGTTACTCACTCCCGTTACCTTACCTTACCTCGAGGTGCTTCCGGGGCTTAGCGTCCCCACGGCCCGGTCGTCGACCAGGCCTCCTGGTTGCTGGACTGATCAACCAGGCTGTTGGACACGGCTGCTCGCAGCCTGACTTATGAGTCACAGTCTGGATGATCAGGTATCCTTTGGAGGTGCTTATCCAAAGGATACCTGATCAACCAGGCTGTGACTCATACGTCAGGCTGCGAACAGCTGCGTCCAACAGCCTGGTTGATCAGTCCAGCAGCCAGGAGGCCTGGTCGACGACCGGGCCGCGGGGATGCTAAGCCCCGGAAGCACTTCAAGGTAAGGTAAGGTAACGGGGGTGAGAGATGGGGGAACATCACTACCAACACCTGAGTGAGGGCAGGTATCATTGATTTGGGGGTGAGAGATTTGGAACATCACTATGTACCAACATCACCAGAGTGGGCAGGTATCATTCACAGGGGTGGGGGACAGGCAACATCACTACCAACACCAGAGAGTGGGCGGGTATCTCGTAAATGTTCGATTGTGGTGTCTTCCAAACTGCAAGTCTGATAAGGGGCCCAGAATGTGGAATGACCTTCCCAACTATGTTAAAGACTGTACCTCTCTCAACCAGTTTAAGTTAAAAGCGAAGCTATACCTAATAAATTCCCTGTAACCTACCTTACCCTTCTATTGTCAACCAATGTCTGTTTTTTTTCTTTAAAGAGCGCTGTTTGTCGACATAATTGTATTTGTGCTGCTTTTTCATCTATGTTTTCATTTCTTGTTTTCATTCTACTCATTATGCTCAATTAGTATTAAGCTTGTCATTTAAGTTTATCATGCCCGAAACGCTTTGCGTAATAGTGGCTTTAGGCATTGTATGTACTAGCTATACCTATAAGTTAAACAATCCTTGTAAATATTTATTGTATGTATGTACCTTACCTAAATAAAATTGTATTGTATTGTATTGTATTGTATTGTATAATACTTGTGGATGAGATGCTGTTGAGCTCATTGTGATACAGTGGGTAGTGCATGAATCTAGCAAGTTTAGAAAAGAGGGTTCAATCCCATCATACAACCTCAATATTTTCTCAGCACTTTGAATTTGTCATCATTAATACTCAGATTAATACATCATTAATAATGCGCATTTACCTGTGCCGTATCATGCAGAGCTGAGAGTCCCTTCTGACCTTCCGGGGATAATATTTTCTCCTGGATTTTCACAGATTCCAGCCATTTGCTCAACTGCTTGGCTGTAATTCACACCAGGAAAGAATGAACAATAAGAGAATTTCCTGGAAACAGCGACGAGACATAACTTTTCAGATCAAAGTTCCATATCATAGTGGCATGTTTTGTCCAATCCCTACCTTAAGTCATATTTTCCATTTTATTCTTAAGATTTCACTCCAAAATTTTCTTATTGTACCAATAGTCATAATAAATATTTCCATTTCGCAGTTACAGGATAGTTAAAAGTAATATAATACAGTAATAATTCCCACTGTCGGGAACAGGAAACCTGTACGTAGGTTTACTGAGGTCCCTCTAGGCTAACTACACACCATCTCCCAGAATGCAACCCACAACAGTTGCCTAATTCCCAATTACCTATTTTACTGCTAGATGAACAGAGGCATGTCTAAAGAAATCTTCCCAGCCATTTCTGTTCTGCGTGGGGACTGAACCTGGGTCCTTCAAGTGCGAGTTGAGGATGTAGACCACTGTGCTACAGGGTTATCAGGCCTAGCTATTTTGAACCCATGAAAATATCCCCTTCAAATAAATTTCTGAGGATGTGCTTGAGAAGTATTTAGAGATCTCCAAAACTATAATTGCCATTACCTTTAAAATATCAAGATCTAGAAGATATATTTTCAAATAAGCCATACACAATGGAAACCATTATATGATTAAACACTGTTTAAACAAATAAAAACAGAGCTGAGACTTTAAAACATAAATGTTACCTAAAACAACCAGAGTGGAAACATGACTGGGAAAAAACATTCCAACAGCAATTTTGTGCTAATTAGATAAATAACAAATTTATCAAATACTGTTTTGGATAAATATGGCTTTTTGCTTTAGCCTACATTTAAGTTCATCAATATATACAGGATATATACTGAAGCACAGAAATAGATAAAGCATTTTGTAAATTAGAAAACATTGCTTATGACTTACTGACAGTATATTAATACAGAATGTGCAATGAAACTATCTATGGAGTTACTGTATACAATCAAAATCTAAATTACCTAACTGTCCACATTCTTTTATTATATGTACGTACCTTATCATTACACCATTTCCTACTCTCAGTGGGTGGAAAGACCTCACCCGGCAGACTAAAGGTGAATAATATAGTGAAAGCAGGATATACATGTTTAAACAATAAAATATTAATTGTCCATTCATTATATTATTTGTAAATACATCCACACCAGCATCCCACAGCTTCATAAGACCAGGTGTACAGTGCTGCTCACCCACCACCACACTCTAGCAGTCATCCACACCAGCATCCCACAGCGTCACAAGACCAGGTGTGTAGTGTTCTTCACCCACCACCACACACTAGCAGTCATCCACACCAGCATCCACAGCTTCATAAGGCCAGGTGTACAGTGCTGCTCACCCACCACCACACTCTAGCAGTCATCCACACCAGCATCCACAGCTTCATAAGACCAGGTGTACAGTGCTGCTCACCCACCACCACACTCTAGCAGTCATCCACACTAGCATCCCACAGCTTCATAAGACCAGGTGTACAGTGCTGCTCACCCACCACCACACTCTAGCAGTCATCCACACCAGCATCCACAGCTTCATAAGACCAGGTGTACAGTGCTGCTCACCCACCACCACACACTAGCAGTCATCCACACCAGCATCTACAGCTTCATAAGACCAGGTGTACAGTGCTCCTCACCCACCACCACACACTAGCAGTCATCCACACCAGCATCCCACAGCTTCATAAGACCAGGTGTACAGTGCTGCTCACCCACCACCACACACTAGCAGTCATCCACACCAGCATCCACAGCTTCATAAGACCAGGTGTATAGTGCTCCTCACCCACCACCACCACACACTAGCAGTCATCCACACCAGCATCCACAGCTTCATAAGACCAGGTGTACAGTGCTGCTCACCCACCACCACCACACACTAGCAGTCATCCACACCAGCATCCACAGCTTCATAAGACCAGGTGTATAGTGTTCCTCACCCACCACCACACACTAGCAGTCATCCACACCAGTGTCCTACAGCTTCATAAGACCAGGTGTACAGTGCTGCTCACCCACCACCACCACACACTAGCAGTCATCCACACCAGCATCCACAGCTTCATAAGACTAGGTGTACAGTGCTCCTCACCCACCACCACACACTAGCAGTCATCCACACCAGTATCCTACAGCTTCATAAGGCCAGGTGTACAGTGCTGCTCACCCACCACCACACACTAGCAGTCATCCACACCAGCATCCACAGCTTCATAAGGCCAGGTGTACAGTGCTGCTCACCCACCACCACACACTAGCAGTCATCCACACCAGTATCCTACAGCTTCATAAGGCCAGGTGTACAGTGCTGCTCACCCACCACCACACACTAGCAGTCATCCACACCAGCATCCACAGCTTCATAAGGCCAGGTGTACAGTGCTGCTCACCCACCACCACACACTAGCAGTCATCCACACCAGTATCCTACAGCTTCATAAGGCCAGGTGTACAGTGCTGCTCACCCACCACCACACACTAGCAGTCATCCACACCAGCATCCACAGCTTCATAAGGCCAGGTGTACAGTGCTGCTCACCCACCACCACACTCTAGCAGTCATCCACACCAGCATCCACAGCTTCATAAGGCCAGGTGTACAGTGCTGCTCACCCACCACCACACTCTAGCAGTCATCCACACCAGCATCCACAGCTTCATAAGACCAGGTGTACAGTGCTGCTCACCCACCACCACACACTAGCAGTCATCCACACCAGCATCCACAGCTTCATAAGGCCAGGTGTACAGTGCTTCTCACCCACCACCACCACACACTAGCAGTCATCCACACCAGCATCCACAGCTTCATAAGACCAGGTGTACAGTGCTCCTCACCCACCACCACACACTAGCAGTCATCCACACCAGCATCCACAGCTTCATAAGACCAGGTGTACAGTGCTGCTCACCCACCACCACACACTAGCAGTCATCCACACCAGCATCCACAGCTTCATAAGGCCAGGTGTACAGTGCTTCTCATGAATTGTCCTCTATATAAAACAGTATACAAACACAAACAAACACAGGTACACATTCATTCCCTTCATATAAACCACTTTCACATGAAATACTGAACAGTTTAATACAGTACAGTATATATAAACTTGAATGAATAATTAATAAATTATCCATGCAGACTTTGGAGAGAAAAATTCAGAAAAAAGAGCAACAAATAGATCTTTCTAGTGATTGTTACAACAAGCATTTGACCATGAGAATTTAGCTAAGAATTGGACATGTGAAAAAGGAATATTCAGTCTTGTCAGAAATGCCTTTCTACTCTTTAGTAATATCTAGTATGAAATGAGCATTTCTACAATTGCAGATATGAAAAAGTACTATCCTGTAATCTCATTTGAAAAACTAAGAATCACTATTTCACCAAAAAGACACACTCAGTTTGATAAAATTTGTGAAGAGAAAGAAATTTTCTTTTTTATTAATTTTGTTTGTTTTACAAACTGTATATGGTATATGTTATTAGCTTCCCTCCTAGCTGCGCTATTTACAGCGTAAATACTATCCAAACACGGTAATTATGAATGCCATTTAAATTATCTGAACATTTTATTATTAATGTAACAATGTCTCCTATGTCAATAAATATGGTGGAAATTAATTTACTTTATAAACAATAGTATTATTATTATTTATTAAGTATTTAAGTATTATTAAGTATTTATTTATTTAAGTATTAAGTATTAAGTATTTTTATTATATAATATACTATATAAATAAAAATGTAAATGTTCGTTTTGTTTAAAATCACTAATCTCCGAAATTCTTCACCGATTGCTTTGAAATTTTGACTCAACGTTACAGTGGAATACACACGTGTTTTTATATACTTACTATATAAATGCCACACCTGTGACAGATAAAAACATGCTTTTTTTTAAACAGTGCCATCTGTTGGACGTAAATGCAACACACACTATACTAAATATGTTACGATTCCATTTCAATCTTTCCGATTGCATTGTTAAATTGAATTCTCATAGATTTTGAATTATTTTCATTTTTATTTAATTATTTTATGTGACATTACATTGGAATTGAGCTGTGTTGTTTACCATACCATTGATTTTGTAAGTATAGTTTATTTTTTCATTGTTTTTCTGTTTTTTTTAACTGTTCTTATTTTTCAGTGATGGGAACATCAGATCATTTGATGTTCTCATTTTTCTGATGGGAACATCAGATCATTTGGGAACGCATCAGATGGGGAAGTGCGGAATGGTGGGGGATGAGGAGGGGATGGGGAATGGGGCATGGTGGGGAGGACGAGGGGACGGGGAGGACAAGGGGACGAGGGCGTGGGGCATGGTGGGGAGGATGAGGGGACGGGAGGGGAGAAATTGTGGGGAAGACGAGGGGACAGGGGAGGGGGGGGGGAATGGTGGGGAGGACGAGGTTGTGGGGGATGGTGGAAAGGACAAGGGGACGGGGAGAATGGTGGGGAGAACGAGGGAACGGGGAGGGGGAAATGATAGGGAGGACGAAGGGACGGGGGGAGGGGAAAATGGTGAGAACGAGAGTATGGGAGAGTGGGGAATGGTGGGGAGGACGGGGCGACGGAGGAGGGGGGGGAATGGTGGGGAGGACGGGGCGATGGCGGAGGGAGGGGAATGGTTGGGAGGACGGGGAGACGGAGAAGGGTTGCTGTGGCTCAGCAACGCCCACGCATTGCTGAGCCACATCAACGCGTGGCCAGGTACAGCTAGTAAAAAATATTACAGTTATTTCCAAATAATATAGATGGGGGACATGATCCTAAAATTGGCATTTTAAGGGGGTCATCCTCACTACAAGAATATATAAATGAAGAACATTGTAGAAGGCTATTAGCTAATACAAGGAAGCTCTGATTTATATCCACCCAAATTCATATACATAGATGCCTAACCTAATCTTGAAAAACATCATGCACCCACATCTATTACTGTTACCTAGTAATTTATTCCATATACAGTATCAACTGCCCTACTGTATTTTCAAACCAGTATTTACCCAGGTCTTTAATTTATCTAAATTTTTCCAAACTGCTGCCTTAAGGAAAATACATATTATTTGACACTGTTGTTAAGAAATACCTTCGGCATTGTATTCATTAGCTTTTAGGGTGTAATCTGAAGCTAGAAGTTTGGCTTTTCCTTCCGAGCATTTACTTGCCGTCATCAGGTGATGAAGTATGTTGATGGAGGATTCGGTCTTCTCATAAGGAGGGACGTGTTCCTTCCCATACACCTCCTTCAGCCACTGTGCTATCTGTCACAATATAGTTTCAGTAAGGTAAGGTAAGTTTCAGGTACCAGCATGACAATATAGGATAGGAACTGGGATATGAAAAGGAAGTGGAGGGACAGTGGACTGTACAACATTGACCTGCAAGATGTGAGGCCATTGGTGCACAGACTAATTCAAGTGGATGAATAAAGTTAAAGTAAATGTTCAGTCATGAATATTAAGAAATCTTCCAAAAATACTGATATAAGTTTCAGACTCAAACATTTTATTTGCATCTACGAATAGTTATTACATAATAATATCTTTTAAAGTCTGAAGGACTGAGAATCTATGAAACCCAACTAATTAACACATTAAGACAAGTGAAATTGGTAAGTTCTCACACAAGAACTTACAACTTGTGATCATTTACACCAATCTTAAACAATTTACACAAATCTTTTGAGTAGTCTTTTGTTATGAAAATCCTTAAACAAAAACCTATGTACTATATATAATGAGTTCTCTTCCCTTCAGTGAACCAAGTGCTACTTAAATTTACAACCACATTGAACATGTGTATACAGTAATATTTCATTGTGAACAGTGCTCTGTGCTTCTTACCTCCCGATGTTTGATATCCATATCTTGAAGGGTGAAGTGTCAGACGACAACCAAAGTAATAACGAACACTTCAACTTTCTTCACTTTGGAACTGCCGTCGGCCTGGAATTTTAGACAGTGTCCCGTTTAAATCTTGCGGTGCACTCCCACACATACATAGCTTTGGTGTGCGGTTCTACAATAGTTCCTCACCCTAGTTATACATGTATTGCACAGTTTAAGGGTTAAAACTGACTGAGCCTATTTTCAAATTAGGCCCTATTGCTGATACATTAGGAACACCACTATATTGTAAAGAATTATGCCCTATAATTTCTACTGAATATTTACCTCTACAGTATAGATAATAAGTGTTGTGCTATATTACTGCAATATGAAGCACAGTAAACAGTACTGTGCTGTATTATGTAATATTACCATTATATAAAGCATAATACACAGTACAATATTGTGCTATATTACTTAAAATGAGGTACAGTATTGTACCCTATTGTTGTATGAAGCACAATATAGGGTACAGTATCATGCCAAATTACTGTTGAATGAGTACAATATACAGCACAGTATTGTGCCATATTACTGTCTAATGAAGTACAATACACAGTCCAGTATCATGCCAAATTATTGTTGTATGAAGCACAATATATGGTACAGTATCATGCAATACTACTGTTGAATAAAGTACAATATACAGTACAGTAGAGTGCCATATTATTGTTGAATGAAGTACAGTATACAGTACAGTATTGTGCCATATTACTGATACTGTCTAATGCTCAGCAATTTGAATCATATATAACCCACCCTTATTGGAGTTAGCCAGACATTCAAGTTAGCCAACTTTTTTTACCAGGAATGTCCAAATATTAACAAATTTAAATTTATTTGGGTTTTTTGATCAGCAGAAATTGCAGTAACCCAAATTTCTATTCAATTTGTGAGGTCAAACAACTTGCAATCAAATTTATGTGTGTCTCATTTGGTATAATCTTTTAAGCTGAATTCCTGCTCAGGTTAAAAGGTCAAAGTGAGAAAAAACTTCAACATGAATTCATTTGGATTACAGTACTAGAAGATTCCAAATTACTGGAATCCAAATTACTGAGCTCTTACAGTATATGAAGCATGGTAAACAGTACAGTATGGTGCGACAGTACAGTACTCATATATGAAACACAATGGACAGTGTAGTATTATGTCATATTATTGATATATGAAACACAATAAACAGCAGAGAATTATACAGTACCACATATCTGGGGGGTCAGAAATAAGACAATGTGGGACATTCTTAAATATATGTTTTGCCTGCATACCACTAGGACCTGGTTGTGGCTCACTGCTTGATTTTCTCAATAAGAACCTTTCCATAGAGACTTGTTTTCCCCACGTTTTAACATCTGTCTGCAGTGAGGCATCACATTGTCATTGAAAAGGTTAAGGCAACGGCCTACTGCAGCTTGATTTGGGCGAGTCATTTCAACAAAACTTTGCATTTCCTCCCTTCCTGCACACCACTTCTTAATTGTTGAGGAAGCCATGGCATGGTATATAATAATTACTTTTATGTTTAGAAAGCAAGAAAGCTGAAAAACAATGAAATTCTTTACAAAGAATTCAAGCGCGATTGTCACTAAGTGGGCGGTCAGGTAAACTAAACTGAATACTGTACATACAAATGAATGGTCTGGTAAATTGAAGTGGGGTCACCCGTGCCACCAGGAACCACGTGCTCCATCGACCCATACGTATATCAATAAAGTCTCAAGTCGAGAAAGGTCGTAAGTCAAGTCAAATTTTCCGACGAAACTGGGGTTGTAATTTGAAAAATTTGTAAGTAGGGGTATTCGTAAGTTGAGGTTCCACTGTATATGAACATGTTTACTGATGATGCTAAGATAATAAAGAAGATAAGAAACTTAAGACAATTCTTACACCCTTCAAGAAGACCTAGAGAAAGTAAGTGTATGGAGCTCTACTTGGCAAATGGAATTTAATGTGAATAAATGTCATGTTATGGAATGCGTAATAAGAGAACATAGACCACACACAACCTACAAATTATATGAAAAATCTTTAAAAAAAAATCTGATAAAGAGAGATGCATGGGTGGTTCTAGGTAGAAAACTATCACCAGAGGGGCCACAAAGAACGTTATAAAAGGAGCCTATGCTATACTGTACTTTCCAATTTCAGAAATGCTTTTAAACACTTGGATGGTGAAATACTAAAGAAATTGTTCATGACCTTTGTGAGACCAAAGCTGGAATATGTAGAGGTTGTAGAGTGCATTGATAATCTTTGTTTAATAAATCTTGTTTAGAATTTATGGTGTTTAGTGGAATTTCCCCCAACGCTTATTTTACATTCTGTTGTTGGTTTCAAGACCCCATGCTTTGGACTAGGCACCCTCTGCTAACCAGCAAGCATTTATTTATTATTACATATAATCCTATTGTACTTTGATTTAATCTACCCTTAACATAAATCTTATCCCTCCTTTTCAGATAACTGGGGATCCATTTTCAGGGATTATGCCTAATTGATGGTATCCTGCTTCACCATCAATTGGGGTAATTACCCAGTGGGTGGGAGTAGCAGGTGGTGGCAGCGTCTCAGTGTGACTTCGAAAGGTACAGCATCCTCGCACCGTGATATCTAAACGATCGAACATTTTAGATCTCTAGGAATTGAATTGAAGGTTACACCACAGAACTCTGGTCTGCAGGATTACTTAATAATGACCAGCATTTAACCAAGTCAGCGAGGTTAAAAACTGGCCCCCGTTACACCTTCACTGACTCGCTCACTGGCTTCCCCACTGACTCACTCACTGGCTCCTTCACTGACTCGCTCACTGGCTTCCCCACTGACTCGCTCACTGGCTCCTTCACTGACTCGCTCACTGGCTTCCCCACTGACTCGCTCACTGGCTCCTTCACTGACTCGCTCACTGGCTTCCCCACTGACTCGCTCACTGGCTCCTTCACTGACTCGCTCACTGGCTCCTTCACTGACTCGCTCACTGGCTTCCCCACTGACTCGCTCACTGGCTTCCCCACTGACTCGCTCACTGGCTTCCCCACTGACTCGCTCACTGGCTTCCCCCCCAATGGCTTTCTCACCAACTTACTCACCGGCTCCTTCACTCACAGCCAGAGGCGTAGGGCCTGTACAGGATTATCCCTGCAAATAAAAAAAAATAATCCCAATTACCAACAGAATACTGCACATATTGTAAAATAAATTACTGTACTGTAATACAATTTGTATTTCAAGTAGAGTGCAGTGCAGGATTGTATGTACATACTTAGGCTACTGCTATACATTGAAAGTTTTATCAATAAAACTTTTTATTAATGAAACAGTTTTATTAGTTACAAAACTTTTGTTTTATGGTATACAGTGTATTGTATTTGTATTATTGTGTGAATACAATTTTGAAAGCAAATATAACAACAGTCTATCCAGTTATCTGACCCTTCCCTGTCCCACCAAGGTCATATAAATAGACTTTCAGTAGGTGAATACAACTAACCCATCAGTGGAGTAATAGCATGTAAGAACAGACTGTAAACAAGGGAAGCTCATCAGAGCCATTCAGAACCATGTATATCACACATGTCAGACCAATCCTCGAGTATGCAGCTCCCAACATGGAGTCTGTATCTCATCAAGAACAAGACTAAATTGGAGAAGATTCAGAGTTTGCCACCAAACTAGTACCTGAGCTGAGGAATATGAGCTACGAGTAGAACTTCAAGAACTAAACCTTTCGTCAGTGGAAGACAGAAGAGTTAAGGGGAGATATAATTACCACATACAAGATTCTCAAAAGAACTGATAGGGTAGATAAAACCAGTTTATTTAACACACCGGGCAAGCGCATTAGGGTTATTCCATCTCAAATCACCAACAAGTCACCTATGGTTCCCACTCGACCCTCTCCAAATGCCATGAAATTTTGTAGTGAGATAGCCCTAGACCCCAAATGACACTTTGCAAAATATTAAAGCTCAATCTGCTTTGGTTCTTAAATAACAGGTCCGTATTCAATGGGCCGTCTCTCCCGTTAATGCGCAAGTACCACAAAAATGACCAACTTTGACCCTTTGTTAAATTACTTTTATTGCCTGTAGGAGTGTGAAATTTGACATACCAAATACTGTGGGCACCTCACAGCTTGGTTGAACAGCGCTTCAGATTCGTAGTCTTGAGGTTCCGGGTTCGATCCCCGATTGAGGCGGGGACAAATGGGCAAAATGTTTCTTTCACCCTGATGCCCCTGTTACTTAGCAGTAAACCTGGGTACCTGGGAGTTAGACAGCTGCTATGGGCTGCTTCCTATGTGTAACAAAAAGGAGGCCTGATTCTGTGTTCTGTGATTCTGTGAGGCCTGTAGTGTTCTCTACTTCCATAACTGAATCTTACCATGTCCTCATAAAACTATTTCATTACATTTACATTGATGTAATTGATATATTGTACCGCGTCTTTTGTGCAGGCTAGACATCAGACTAGCCCAAAATGCTGTTCATGCATAAGACCACAAGAAGATTTAATAACACAGAAGGCCTTCTAGCCAATATGACTCGACTCCTATTTATTCTTACAGAGTCCATGATTTCAACCATAGCCATGCAAAGGGCTTCAAACTTTATACAACCATATAATATTGCGAGATATTCAACTGGTTTTATAAACAACCACCATGCAGCTTAGTTACAATCAGGTGATGCAAGTTTAAAGTAACGTAGACGTTCTCGTGACGTAGCACAGAAATTCCTCGGCAAAACACAGTACTGTACTGTAGCCTAAATAAATCCAACAATTTCCTAACAGTATAGTACTGTACATTAAACACAATATTGTACATTTAATACAGTACAGCACTGCATATTAAATACAGTACAGCACTGCATATTAAATACAGTACAGCACTGCATATTAAATACAGTACAGCACTGCATATTAAATACAGCACTGCACATTAATTATAATGCAGCACTGTACATTATACACTATAGTACTGTACTATACATTAAATCCAGAAGAAGATTGCACATTAAATACAGTACAGTATTGTACAGCAAATAAAGTAATTAGTAGTTACATACAACACATTAAACAAGACATTTTCTTTTAATTTGTCAGATCTGTTTAATGAATTGTATAATACATTAGTTGAACACACTGTACTGTATTCACACTGTGAGAAGTGTATGGATAAGGAAAATACGACAGCAAAGGATAACAGAGCGAGAGAAGAGGATGACAAAAAGAGAAGATACAGAAACATTTCTCTTGATTTCCTGTATACAGTAATACAATTTACAATAATACACATTTCTCCTTATTTTATTAACATTACTATAGTATTCTTGCAAATTTCAATATATAATAGGCTGAACATAGTCTTATTTTGTTAGATTATTAGTAACATACAACAATTAATCAATTACTGTATATGGTAATATTAAGCACATCCTAATCACAGGAATTTTCCTAATTTTCCAGACATATGCCATTTACACCAAATATGTCTGCATCTATTGAACTAATGATGGTAAGCTCTGGTTCTTTAGTCAGCTGCTGCAGGAGATACTCCAGAGGCTTCTTCAAGCACATCCTGTTCTTGACACTTATTTCAAAGCAGCCCATTTTATGTTTTGTAGGGTATGTGATGCTCTTACTTTGGACTTTTCTTTCTTTTATGTCAATTTTGTTAGCACACAAGACAATAGGAATATCTGGCACAACTCTGTGAATATCTCTGTGCCAATTTGGTACATTTTTATACGTTACTTTGGATGTGACATCAAAGAAAATGATCGCTGCATCAGCACCTAAGTAATATGCATCTCTTAGAGGACCCAACTTTTCTTGGCCAGCTGTATCCCATATGACTATTGTGCTTGGACCATGGGATGTGCTAATTGCTACTTCATGCTTCTCTACTCCTAATGTTGCGATGTACTCCTGATGAAAATCCTCACTTTGTAGCCGAGTAACAAAGCTAGATTTCCCGGTTCCACCATCACCAACCAACACAATCTTGTACTTTCCAGGCTTGGAGCAATTAGTGGAATCTGGCACACACTGCCCATCACTGGAAGACTGACACTTGTCCTCCATCCTTCAGTTTAAACGTCGAATGAAATGTCAGACTTCAATGGAAATTGTTCTCTAGACGTCTGATTCCTCTAAAGCTGAAACAAAGAGAGGAAGAGTTGTGTTACCCTGGTCTAGAACATAACTAAGGCTTAATGTGTAAAATGAACACAAAATTTTTCTTGTTTTACACTCATAAAATACGAGAAATACTCTGCCAAACAATTGACAAAAGAATATGATCAACATATACAGTAGTAACTACTGCCTTAGTTAAATCTGACCAATCAACATGCTCAACTCTTCCTCATATTTTGCATGCAGCCACATAATCCTGCATCCATCTTAAAATATTTTAATACTGCTCACATCTAATCAAGACAAGTTACAATTTACAGCACTGTGTGATGGTTAGAAAACTACAGCTTATCACTCCCCAGTCCCCATAACTAATTTTTCTCTGAAGAAAGCAGCAATTACTGTAGGCACTTCAGGCAACGAACAAGTTGCCTGGAGTGCTGTTGATATTTCGGAGGTCTGAGCCCTATGAAATTCCCAGGATATTCCACCGTTGACTCAATTTTCTCATAATTATACTCTGGTACAGCCCTCACCTGGTGTAAATGTTCCGCCCGAACCTTAATGGAATCTGACCCATATATCAATCGGGTCAACCCAAGTGTTGCGTTTCCAAAAAGGGTCGCCCATGTTGGAATCGGTGAACGCCCTAGTAATATTGTTGAAAACATCTTAATAACTTATTAAACCAAAGGTCTTTTTATGTCAGAAGAACGGCAGAAACTGGATCTATATATGAAAACTCTTTCAGGACAAAATTTAAAGTAAAACTAAAGATATTTGTAGTTGTATAAAAGTTGCATTTTTCATCGGTCGTAGAGCCGGAAATCCGCAATATTCATCTCAGAACAATGCTTATTTCACGCAGAATCGTTAATAAACGTAAGATTTTTATACGTCTCAAGAAAGATAGAAACATAATCTTCATTTTAAGTGCCTTACCATGGGCATATTTGTATTTAAAGCGAAGATACGTGTATTTTTCTAATCGGCGAGCTCCGATCCCGCACAGATCGAGCAACGGAGTAACTCTCTCTCAGAACATTGCTTATTTCACGTAAATTCGTTAATAAACGCAAATGTTTTTTTTTTTTTTTTTTTGAGATATATACAAGAGTTGTTACATTCTTGTACAGCCACTAGTACGCGTAGCGTTTCGGGCAAGTCCTTAATCCTATGGTCCCTGGAATACGATCCCCTGCCGCGAAGAATCGTTTTTTCATCCAAGTACACATTTTACTGTTGCGTTAAACAGAGGCTACAGTTAAGGAATTGTGCCCAGTAAATCCTCCCCGGCCAGGATACGAACCCATGGCGGGTCCATAGAATTACCCCAATCGCCCAAATCAGGCCAAAACTACCCAAATCGTATTAGCATTACGTAAGTAATGAAGAAATCAGGTATATTTTCTTACTATAATGTTGGTGCTACACGTAGAACATGATCAAACCTATTTTTACTCTGAAATAATCTAATTTCATAACGAAATGAGACGTAAATATGTGAGAGGTGACGCCATAGGAAGTCGACGGTCCAAGCGACAATTGTGTGGAGCGACTTATCCAAGATATATGGTCGCTTGGAGAGTGTTTGCTGCCATAACAGCCTCCTGTACACAGTGATCCAGTCGTCGTATTTCATGGCTCAAATTGTCGCAAATTTAATTGGTAATATTAACAAGTAGAATGTGTATTTATAATAATATTTTTCATAAACAGCCACAAAATATTTAATATTTATTAAAAAAAAGTGTTTGGAAGTTAAATCAATTCCACATGACAATAAATTTGTTATATAGATACTAGCGTTATTCGTTGGTATGCGTTCGCTATTTAAACTACTCCAGTCCTTTTCGTTCATAGAACACCGAACCCTACACGCTCTCTTGATATATTGCTTAATTAACAAATATTCACAAATAAAGATTATATTTATATATGTTATCAGAAAGGCAGATATAAAATAGTTTGTGTTAATGCATCACAGAGATTATACCTTATTAGAGAGGAAAAATATTCATATTTTAAACAAGGCTTCTTGGCCGACGCTCTCCCTTTCGATGGGAACTATGACCTTTTGAAAATCAATGTTAATTGAATCTATATATTGTAAAAAACGAAGTTTTTTATGTCATCAGAAAGACATATAAGCTGCATGTTAATACTTTGGTATAAATATAACTGAAGTGAAAGTGAAGATATATGCCTTTTTATAGTTACTTGATGGCTCGCTCAGGGAGTGTGAAGGCCTGCACACAAGCCAATCAATTTTATAATTAATATACATATATGCAAAGTAACGTCAAAGGTTTTTATTTCAGAATAAAGACAGATGTAGACGATAATGTAAATACATTTCAAGGAAAACATATCTTAAATGAAAGCAAAGATATGGTCAAATAAATAGGCAATATCACACCATCGCCAGTGTCCGGACACATGAATATTCGCATTAGGTAGGTGAAAGGAAATGTACCCAACCATTTCCATTTACGCGACCAGTTTCCGTTCTTATGTTCTTACTTACATTTATTGAAATTTATCATCATCATCATTTACAGAAATAAATTAACATAAAAATGTAGTAATTTTAATACACAAAACAGAAGTAGATATGTATGTAAATTATGACGCAGGATAGGATCACTATTCGCATACTTTGCGTCATTATATACAGTACTGGAATTTAAAAAAAATCGCGGAATTCAGAGATAACACCATCATTGGTGTCCAAGAAAAGTGTAAGTACTTCATTTATAATGATGTGCTGCCCGAAATCTTAGCGAAGTATCTAAAATTTGCTTACTGTAAGTAATTCATGCAAATGATTGTAAAGCCGTCGCCCAGTTGGTTGGGTGTGGAGCACATGACTGTTAAACTGCCGCCCAGTTGGATGGGTGTGGAGCACATGACTGTAAAGCTGCCGCCCAGTTGGGTGGGTGTGGACCACATGACTGTTAAGCTGCCGCCCAGTTGGGTGGGTGTGGAACACATGACTGTTAAGCTGCCGCCCAGTTGGGTGGGTGTGGACCACATGACTGTAAAGCTGCCGCCCAGTTGGGTGGGTGTGGAGCACATGACTGTTAAGCTGCCGCCCAGTTGGGTGGGTGTTGAGCACATGACTGTTAAGCTGCCGCCCAGTTGGGTGGGTGTGGAGCACATGACTGTTAAGCTGCCGCCCAGTTGGGTGGGTGTGGAGCACATGACTGTAAAGCTGCCGCCCAGTTGGGTGGGTGTGGAGCACATGACTGTTAAGCTGCCGCCCAGTTGAGTGGGTGTGGAACACATGACTGTTAAGCTGCCGCACAGTTGGGTGGGTGTGGAGCACATGACTGTAAAGCTGCCGCCCAGTTGGGTGGGTGTGGAGCACATGACTGTTAAGCTGCCGCCCAGTTGGGTGGGTGTGGAGCACATGACTATAAAGCTGCCGCCCAGTTGGGTGGGTGTGGAGCACATGACTGTTAAGCTGCCGCCCAGTTGGGTGGGTGTGGACCACATGACTGTAAAGCTGCCGCCCAGTTGGGTGGGTGTGGACCACATGACTGTTAAGCTGCCGCCCAGTTGGGTGGGTGTGGAGCACATGACTGTAAAGCTGCCGCCCAGTTGGGTGGGTGTGGAGCACATGACTGTTAAGCTGCCGCCCAGTTGGGTGGGTGTGGAACACATGACTGTTAAGCTGCCGCCCAGTTGGGTGGGTGTGGACCACATGACTGTAAAGCTGCCGCCCAGTTGGGTGGGTGTGGAGCACATGACTGTTAAGCTGCCGCCCAGTTGGGTGGGTGTAGAGCAAGACTAGTAATTGGACGACTCACCATAGATGTAAAGTGCCTAGTATAGTGACTTGTGAGCCTCTTGTTGAATCATTTGTGATACAAAGATTATTGATGTGTGTATTTGTGTGGGTGATTGAATATGTATGTGAATGTATATGTATGTATATGTATATATGCAATTGACGATCACGAAACAATAATCATTTGTATGCGGAAAATTCCATATTTCATTTCTATGGATTTACCGCATATGTATATATATGTACATGTATGTATGATTATGTGTACATGTATATATAACATTAATAAGAGGAAATGAAGATGAAGAAATGATAAAAAGAATGGCAATAGTGGATAGTAGTAACACACTTAAGAATTATTCAGTAATAAATACAAACTCGTCCTTCACCTATGATAAAGGAAAGTCAACTTGGAAGGATTCAATTTACATGAGATTAAGATTAGGATACAAATATATCTGGCAATACGGAGTTGATGTCAGTGAAAAAGATAAGGAGTGTAAATTATGTAGTATGCCGCACGCCCACACCTTAGAACATTATGTATTAGAGTGTCAACTTATTGATAACTATAGAAATAAGGAAATAAGTAATGTACCACATCAAATTGTTTGTATGTGTGATAATGGTATGATAGACAGTATACTTAGGAGCTACAAAAATTTTGCCCCAAGAGTGTAACAATTATATGCTGTACTTACTATATTAACCTGCAATGTTAAATGGGATTCTTGTAATGTTAATTGTCTATTTGTACTTACTGAATTTGTGCGCCCCTTGAGGGACTTGAAGTAGAGGGGGTAGAAATAGCCTAAGTTACTCTATCCCTTTGAGATGTATTTTTTTCTTGTCTCAATAAACATACTTGAACTTGAACTGTAAATATTTGTGGCTTCCTGACCATAAAGTTACCGCCGCAGTCGAGGGTAAGAGACCGGATGTACCCAGTATACAAGCCGCACTAGCTATTAGTTCATAAAAGCTGACAACTTACCCAGATAAACATTACTTCCTAATTATATATATATGCAAATAATACAATTAAAATGTTTAAAACGTGATTATATATATGTATCATGTGGACAGTTTTTAATGTAATTTTTTCTCCTGATATTCGGGTTCTTTATTATGCTTCATCTTGAGGCAAAGCCCAATACCTTACGCCATATTGATGCTCTGTCCACAGATCATTCTCTCTCTCTCTCTCAAATCATATACATTGATGGTTTCCTACACCGCCACACGGGTGCAGCTGCAAGTGCAGTTGCCTCTACCCATCAGACAGAACTATTTGCCTTGCTTGTTACACTAAAATGTGTACAAGTGTGTGTGTCTATGTATGTATTAACACGATGTACTGAACGGGGTGAGAATAGCTTGAGCTACCTCATCCATTTGTGTGTATTTTACCTCAATAAACTTATTTCAATTTCAATTTCAATTCAAGTCTCCAAACTTGATGCATTAATTGTAAGTGATTTTCTACCATCCTGCATTAATTTTAAGTGATTTCTATCATGCTTAATTGCGCGCAACTCTCTAAGACACAATTGTAACATGACCGTGTCTGAAGCTAGACAGAAAACACAACATTATTAGTGATGGTAACATAAGCCATTTCATGTGAATTCCATCTTCGTTGACCTCCGAAACTTGAGGAATGGCCCAGAAAATAGCTACTAAAGTTTAAGTCAAGTGTGAAGATACTTTAGTTGATACTTAGATACTTCCAATAAGTGTAAACATAAGTGCTGACGATGCTACCTTCCTCTATTCAGACCCCAACCCAAACGCACTATATAATAATGAAAATAATAGATTTAAAAAGTCCACTCATGGATGTAAACTAACAAACTCACATCAAACAT